GTTGAATGACACCGCGTTTACCTCCATTGGTGGACAGGAAGGAGTCGGACCGTGAGGGACGAATGGACGGATACATGGAGGAACACATTGATGGACACAGGTTTCTTTACTGGTATATAAGAATGTAGAGAAGTATACGTCGCACCGAAAAATACATTGTTCTACGGGATTGCGCGCAAGCGTCCTGTGGCTGTAAATTCACGAGATCAATTTTTAAAAAAATGGCCGTAAAAGAGGAAAATGAGCAATGAAAAGATGCAAAGGAAGCAAAAAAGCCATGAAACGCTGGGTTAACCATATTGAATTGGACAAAAATAATTTTAAAAACAAGAAAATGTTCACGGTTAAGTTGAAATTAGGAAGAACTCCTAAAGAGTCGTAAATGAATCGGAATCACGAACGGAAGCGAAAACTGGAACTTACTACTTCACGAGGCAAAGATCGCAGCGAGTTCAAGATTTGGTTGTGGAAGGGAATGTACCAATCTAACTGGACGAAATAAGCCTGCTTTAGAAAATTACTTGAAAAGGGATCTCTCATTAGATATCGGCGCACAAAACACTTGACACATACATATGTGCAATGTCGCACCCAAGGCGGTGGAACTCTTGGGTTTCAGCACCTCCCTCAAAAGCTAATAAACTCGGTATATTTTTTTTTTACACTAACGAAAGTCATCCGTTTGTCAATGATTAATGCTATAAATATTAACTATACGTCAAAAAATTTAAGTACGTTTTATATTCAGCACAAAAGGAAATATTATTGATATCACGTCGGTTAACATTTTACTAGTGGCAATCGCCACACAGGGAAAAAACTTGGTGCACCGTCGCGTATATGTCAATGTATCTCAACAATAGTCATCGTTTTGTCAAGTTTATGCTTAGAAAATAGTCTAATAATTTTGCTTGTAAAATTTTCTAGAACGCAGATCACAAGACATGAAGCATAACGTTCAAGTTTTTGGGCGCGAAAAAAAGGCTCTGCTCAGGATCAACCAAATCTCCAGCAAAATGACAGTTGTTTAAAAAAGATTGTCACTTTGCTTGTCCAACAATATTTGGAAAGTATAAGCGAATTTCTGGACACTTGATCAAACAAGCGTTTATTAATAGTCTTAAAAACAAAATTATACAAAAAGAAAATAGGACAACACAAAGGGAATATTATTGAGGAGCATCGAAATGTACTTCGATAAAACTGTGTCACGAAGATGAAAAGAGTAGCAGAGGACGTAACATGCGTAAGGCTTATAAATCACAAATGGGTCAAGAAAATGGTAAAATAGGAGGGAGGATATGTCACAACTGAAGAAAATACAAAAAGTGACAGAACTGCAAACGTGTTGACAGACTTCCTTTTATATTGTGAACATCTCAAACGCCGGATATTGTTAACAACCCGAACAAATTAGTAAGAGCAGAAATGGTGAACAGAATCATGGTAAAATGTTAAGCGAAAAGAAAAAAAAACGGGGGGTGGCGACAGGTGAAAGAAACGAAGAGCGCGGGCCCTGCTTCGGAAAAGAGAATGAGTGAAAGGCACTTGAAAGAGATGCAAGAAAAGAACGTCGGAGTTAAGAATAGACTGCTCAGAGTTTGAACAAATTTAAAACCTAGAAGCTCAACTAAAATGTGGGACAATTAAAGTTTTTCGCATTTTCTTGAATTCTGAAACAAAGTCATATTTAAAATAAAGGTGACACAAAAAGACTCCGTAGAGTATGCAGAATATTATTTAATTGTTTCCTTTAAAATTATATACGTCCAACACATTAAACGAACACTGTTTCCACTCCATCAGAAGAGCATTCGGATACGTAAAAATGTAAATGATCTTTTTTTAAAGAATTTCAGCTTTCAGAAAGACCTTTCAACACATTCTTTTAATTTCTCAAGCATGCTATTCTAGATTTCTCGGATGATCATTCGGCAGAAATCCCTCCCCCCCCCCATTCTTCCCACCATATCATCAGATGCAGTAATTTTAAAAGTTTCTCTTTCCTCATTTCAGTTCCTAATTTCTTCCATACGTTGACATTATTGATACTCAGAAGTTGAAAAGATCCAATGAATTGTAGGAAAATGTATAGTAGCAACATTTGAACAGTAAGCTTGTGCGAAATACTGCTGATTGTTTTAAAGAACCTGGCGGTAACCCATACTTTTATAATATATTCTCAATTAACAGGAGTTCACTGACGCAGCTGGCCATTAGGCAGGCTCGCACCATTACAGTCCCACTGCAGTTTTATTGTAGGCTTTTGGTTCTTCACCTACAACTGTTGATTAGCATTTCTCGATATAAATTTTTCCATCACATCTAAAAACACATCAAACTTTCTTTCGCTTGCGAAAATTATCGTGTTTGGACATTCCATGTCCTGCAAATGCCCTTCCGCAAACTCTCATCTCATCTTTTTTTAAATTAATGCCTTCTACCATGCCCATGCCATTCTCTGGTATCACATTAATAGTTTCAGGATGCACTTACTCCCATTAGTTCGTTTCCCGATAATGCAGCAATTTTCGGGGAATGTTTTCAGGTTTCTCTTTCCTACGATGTAGTTTTCGCCGAGAGTTGGCGAGTAAATCTACTTTGGCGGTAAGATTCAATCCTGACTAACGTTTAATGATATCTTATACCACTTTTCTTCATTTGAGGTTTCGAGCAACCCAACCGAAATTCATCCCTGTTTCGAGGCATTTTCCTTACAACTTTCTTCAAGGACAAACAAGGATCAACCCGTCGGAATCCATTCTAACGGGCACCTTCCCTCTCCACGAAGGAATAAATCCACAACCGCAGTGTTCCCGCAGGTAAACACTGGAATAGTTGATTGAAGTACTACTATGGGAATATTTGTTTGGTATGCTATTTCAGTTACTGAGCCTTTTTGATTTAGAAAGCCGTCTTTAATAAGTGAAAAATAATGTAATTTTAATGAGTTTCGGTCTCGCATAAATTACTGAAATTATGACCAATAATAAATGTTTTAACTCGTACAGCGTTTTGAATTTTCTATTTGAAGGTATTTAAAACAGTGTTAAAATAAAATATATAATTCGTATATTTAAGAGAGTTTGAATGAACAGAATTTTCAAACATTTAGGCCAAATTACAACAAAAACGATCTGAAAAAAGTTATTAAAATTATGAGTCAATACAAAGAACAATCTAAGGCGACATGAAAAACGCGGGAAAGTCGTGACAACGGGGTTAGATATAACGACAGCGGGTTGAGAGAATGCAAAAACATCGAAGGAAGGACCCAGGAGGGCGCAAAATTTTTCAAATAAGAATGAGAAAGTCCAGGAATGAAACAACTAATGTATATGCAAAATTTATATGAAGGGTAGTGTAAAGGAATGAGGGTAAAAGCAGGAAGTACGAATAAAAATACGAATCGAAAAAAAACACGAACACAGCAGAATGAACACATAAGGACGAGGCAGAATATAACAAAAAGGGCCATGTCAACAAAATTACGACTGAAGGATGGTTTGAAATTAAACTTCAGTACCAAGAAAAACTTGATAGGTCAAGTTAATAAATGACTATGTTAAAAAGGTCTTACCAATGTAAACCCATAGCGGATATATGCAAAACAAATAAAAGAAATTGCACACTGACAACAAACCTCGCATGTCCACATCTTTGTTTGCTCCAACATAAACATTTCGTTTTAAAAATATAAAGAAACTTTTGATGTATCTTTCTTGTCTTTAAGTGTGGTTTGTTTCACTGCTACAAGCCTTTCATACAAAATTAACATAACTGTCACACCAAAAGTAATTGAAGACGTACAACTAATGTTGTAAAATACACAATTAACTACATCAAAAAAAATGCGGCTTCGTTGTCACATAATCCCTCCAGCATCTCTTCAACGCGAACAAAAACAATGCATTAAAAATTAACAATCAATGTGAGTTAAAACTTAAGATTCCCACCATAGATAGCCATAATCCATTGAATTAGTTCTAAAATAATAACCCACGTAATTAGGCGTCTCTATAAACCACCCACATGAATTGTCAACGTCCAATCATTACTGCAATCATGATAACGTTTCATATAAAACATCACTCAAAGACACAACATTCATTAAGAAATGCCACTACCCTCCTTTCCACTTCGTTGTATTCTCTGGATGAAACACCCATGTACAATATACCAACATTATACATCGTATAATTCATCGCTTTATACAATGATGCACAGCACCAACAATACAATACCAACAGGCATATAACATCAACTGATCGTCTCATTATCAACTGATACCATTTCATCTGTTGATGTATAGAACACAAAAGAACGCATCCAAATTACTAGTCCGTGCATTTAAATTGGCGGCATAACTACTGTTAGCAACAAAGAAGTACGCCGGCAAAATTGGGTATCTGCACAGTATCCCAACATGAGTCTTCGATGGAATAATTACTTAAATTGTTGAAACAATACGATTCCTATCTCCTTTATTTTTAATTCACAAACAATGTCCCAAAACTAATAAGCTCCGTACTGTCCAAACACACGAACAAAATACACCAAGTCTTTTTGAAACAAAAATTTAATGTTAAAACAAAGTTTCCCACGCCAGACAACCAATGAACAAGGCAATATATTCGTCACTAGTTTGTTTTCTTCACTTTTATTTTCCATCTTCATTCAGAATAACAAATTGAGAGAGCGCTATTCGAAATGTTTGGACGCTCGGCACTGTAGCACGCTGTACACACAGCAACAAAATAGTTCTGGAGACTTGGTGTATATTTACTAACAAAAATACAAGTTACAGCCAACTTAATCAATTAAAAGTTCAAGATCAAATCATACTAGGTCTGTCAATGCTTCTGTATACCAAAATTAACCACATATACACTAACTTCGTATCTTGCCATCAACAAAAATATCAATGCGCACGCAGCAACATAAGTCTAGCCGGCCGTATTATTTAACTGTATCAGTATTAAATATATTTGTTCGCTTACCTCCAACTCTATACATATTTGCTGTCATGGTGCTGCAGTCGGCGTTCCAATGCACCTCACAACGTTCCTATTTTTAAAAGTAACAACATTTAAGTCTTTGAGCACGTAGTAATAGCACCCGATCACAGAGCTTCCTCACAGCAACAACTCGCCATTTTCTCCCCTGCCTGTCTTCCTCCACTATCCGGTGACGTCACGTACCAGTCCTTCGGGGTACTTCGGGAATAAGCCGCTCGCAGAGTCGAAATAGCTGCGTGATGTTATAATTTCTGCATTTTTAGAACTTGTCCTAAAACTGAATCACCTCCAGTGCAAAATGCATGCGTATGACTTGCGTTTTCGGTTTCTATGGACATATTATTAGGTAATTAAAGATCTTATGGAAAAACGTAACGAAACCACTTAGAGGCTTTTTCAACTAAACACATTCATCTGTCGGAACGCGCCATTTTCCAGACGGCTTGATTCTAAATCGGGTGATATTACTGTTCGCAAATGAAAATAAACCAATAACAAATGCCATTACAGACAAAATAATGGTTCTTTCGGGATAATACATCGTCAGAAATATATTATCTGATTAAAACACTTAAATACATTGAATTATAACAGAGTTATGCTTTGGGGATGATGCGGAATATAACATACTTTCCTAAACCGCAATATTTGATCAAAAGTGACAGAAACATGGGAAGAGAGTTATCTAGTTTAACAAATAGCATTTTTCTTCATTTATTTAAGATCAGCAAAACTCCAGCCAGACTCAGTAAGTTGAGTAATTCAACAACAGTAAAACATCAAAAAACTGCCGGAAATTTAATTAATTCCATCATAATTTAGCATATTATAATGATAGTTCATCAAATAGTATTTACAGTAAACCTTATCTCACATAAATAGCATTTGTTGCACTTTATCAAAACATGTCAGCAAAATACACGAAGTATAAGCATATATTGTGATTTTAATTTCATATCAAATAATCATTTATTAATTGAATTATTATTCCACAAATTCCTTCAAATATTGGAATTTGTTGCCACTTCCTTCACATTAAAAGGTATTTGCAAGATTTAAATCTCCCGCGCTTTAAGATACGAGCTGCAGATACCAAACTCTGTCGCCAGACATCGCCACCTAATGCGTGTACCTGCGAGTAAATACATTTCGTGATCAAACTATTATTTTGACAAATATAATTACATTTCCTTAGTATTACCTCTATGTATTTACTGAATTTCGATTTTACGCAATAATAACTGCTTTATTAATCGAACTAAATACATTTAACATCTACTTGAAAGTGAAATCGGCAATAATTTATCGTTGTTGCAAGAAAGCGTTTCTCACGGCCAGTGTCAGCAAACTGTAGGCGATATCAACTTCAGAATGATTCATTCAACAAGTAAAATTCATAAGTAGTCGGGAAGAGAAAAAAATAAAAGCTGATAATTCAATAGTATCTCAAAAAAATTGTGTATTTGCACTGCATTTGTTTCTATTGATAAAAGATCCATCCTTTTACAGGTATTACATATGTCCAATGAATTTGGAATATTAACAGAGTATACAAAGAAATCAAGCGTCAAGGAGAGTGAGAAAAATTCAAATAATTCAATATATTTATATTTATATTTATATTTATATTTATATTATATTTATATTTATATTTATATTTATATTTAATATTTATATTTATATTTATATTTATATTTAATATTATATTTATATTGTATATTATATTTTAATATTTATATTTATATTTATATTTATATTTATATTTATATTTATATTTAATATTTATTTTATATTTATATTTATATTTATATTTATATTTATATTATATTTATATTTATATTTATATTTATATTTATCGTCTGGTTTGTTATGCTGGAAGACTACCAGAGGCGTCTGTTCCGCAGCCGTTACTTGAGTTCGTTACTAGATGGCGCTTTTCAACCAGATCGAGGAATCGAAGTGAGAAGACGCAAAATTATAGTGATAGATGATGGAAATATAACAGAATGCATGACGTGGAGAAAGGAGGAAACCTTACAAACCTGCCGCGAATCTGTTTTTACTTCGTCTATTCATACATACGCAGTAGAGAGAAAGATCTATATTGCCGTAGAAGAAAATAGCGATTTTTCATCAGAAAAACGCTTATTGTGGGACGCAGATATTGAAGAGAGGAATACATCTGTTCCTATAAGCAGAAAATTATTCCTCGAACATAAAAAGTAAAAATCCTAATTTTCTGAGTAGTTGATACCGAGAAACCGATTGACGGTAACAAGTTTGTTCCTGGCAAATCTGTCCGTCTGTGATCAATGTTGGCGCGTAAACCATTCAGATGATTTTCTCCAAGACCTACATTTCCAATCGATCTGAACAAAATTAATGCCGTACGAAATTGAAGTTTTCATATTGGTTTTATTCGGTAATTTAGATAAAGCCTCAACATTTTAATAGTTTGCATAAAAATGGTTCAAAATTAATTCCGAATTAATTTTTCTCGGATTCAGCAAAGACCGATTAAAAATGGCGCAGGTCTCGCTCTCAGGTTGAACTCTTAAACTTTTGAAAATTACCAAAGTTTTTTGGGCGTCTTCATAAAACTACACAATATCCAAGAAAGATTTTTCTGAATACAATACTTTTTCAAAGATAGATATTTATAAAGTTGTCACCTGTCTACTCCTCTACAATAATTTTTATATTAAGCGAAGGATTGGAAAATTGCCCAGATGTTATTTATTTATCAATCTCTGCCAAAAGTAAATTCTTCGAAAAAAAATCCCAATTTAACAATCATACTATGCATTTTGGTTTAAAAAAAACTAACGATCTTATTTGAGTTTTTAAAGAATACATTTAAATACATGTATTCACAGTGGTCTTTAACTCCTTAAAAATACTATTTAACTTTAGGATGAACGGAAATCTCTCCTTTTCTACAATTAGGAACATACAGAAACGTATACATTTGTATTTGTTTTATACCAAAATAGTTTTTGAAAGCGTCAAATAGCAACTGTAATGAAAATGTATCCTTTTGTTTCCGTTTCATTTTTGTTAAGTTGATAGGGAAAGATAATATTATCAATATTTTCTGTGAATTACATGTTTTGTAACGACGTTATCTCTGAAATCGTGAAATCACACTGAAATAATAACAGTAAATCTGGAGCCCGGAGATTATACTTAAACCATATAATAGCTCGCCAACGCTATTATAGCTCGTAGACCGTTTAGACGATTTTTCAAAAAAATAATATTCCCTGATCGATCTGAACGAACTCGAGGCTTGCCAGTTTGAAACAGATATTTGGATTTTAGATATTTGGATTTTCGACACTAGGTAGATTGCTAGGTCGAATTCAGTCGCTGTCTGGAGGAGAATTCTAGAAGCCGACTGCTGAGGTTGGTTTATCCGTGGTTTATCCGATCAATAATAGGCAAATGCCGGAGCTGTACCCCAATGGGCCATGGACAGCGCGCGATCTTTTCTTCCTTTATCCTGTCCTATTCTCGCCCTTTATTTACACACACACTTACATCCCCGACACTACATCACATGCCGAGAGACTGGTCGGGTGCTTGGAGATTGGAGAACCTCCAACACGTATGGAACTAATAACCTGAGCAGTTGACCCGCCCGGTATGACAAATCAATCAAAAATGTCTCCACATTTTTCAATTAAACTTTATCCTCGTATAGCCTGAAGTCCGCTTAAAATAACGGTGCAGGCCCTATTTTCGGTGAAATTATTCATATTTCGAAAATTACAAAAGTTCATTGTTTCGGTGCGTTCCTGCAACTACAATATTGAAGATTTTTATGAATCAGTTTTTTTTTTATTTTATGCACTTTTATTGAATTTGTTGTATTGTCATAAAATAATGAATGAGAGTGTTTGTTATGAATAAGACGTTGTTCAACGATCGATCTGGAAATAAAGTCTTTTACAGAATATAGGCAAAATATAGCCAAGTCATGTACACTATTTCATATTTTTTATTAACATATAAACAAATTTTAAATATTTTATTCTCAAAAGATGTTCGAAATTCTTTCTTTAATTTTTTATTTTGTATATAGTACAATGCAGTAACAAATGATACCGGCCACATTTTCGGCGAAATCTGTATTTTCGAAAATTGGAAAAAACTAACATCGCAAAAGTACAATATATAAATACAGGTTTTCTTTCAAAATCTGTTCTAAAAGATCTTTTAATTATGTCATGCGCAATTTGTAAAGAAAAAACTCGTAGTTTTTGCATTATTTCGGCTTAAAATTACAGCAATGTATTTTTAAAAACCTCTCCAATTTACGACGCTTAAAAATGGCGCAGGTCTAATTTTTGCTGAACTTTCTGAATTGACGAAAATTGTAACAGAAATAATGCGACAAAGCATGTGCTGTTGTAGCATCACTAGTTTCGATATTTGAAAAAGATTGTTTATTCCATTCCTATTCCCAGAAAACATTCGCCCTATTCATTTTATAAGTTGCATTGTCTTGTTTTCAAATCTGTCGATAAATAAACCGAAGTTCGTCTATTCAGTGTTCATTTAAACTCGTGATCTGTCCTGGAAGTAATGAAGTCAAACTGAAAACATCCAGTTCTTCTGATGAAAACGCCGGCATAAGTAGCTCAGGGCATCAACTGATATCACTGTAATGTCTCTGACCGGCAGGTCCTAGGGTTCGTTTCCCGCAAGTGGGATCTTTCCTTCCTCTCCTATACGCTCCTTACACACACACTGAGATGAACTTCCTGGGTTGGCCAATATTTAAATACTTGTATTTAAGATACATATTTTAAATACATTTTGTATTTAAGAAACTTCATTTTTTAGTATATGCATACATACATAAAATAGGTTTATTTAAAAAAAGAAGTACTTAAAATACTTTAATAAAAATAAAATTTGTGAAACAATTAACTTAGATATGCCTGAATTGTTTTTTGTACTTTCGTTCAGTTTTTTGGAATAATTGCAGTGAGAAAAATCATCTGAATATAAACATAGTATAATTTTTGCAATACGTCTTTTCAG